GTTAACATGTAACTGCAGTGTTAACATGTAACAAGTATGTTAACATGTAACTGCAGTGTTAACATGTAACATGTATGTTAACATGTAACTGCAGTGTTAACATGTAACTGCAGTGTTAACATGTAACAAGTATGTTAACATGTAACTGCAGTGTTAACATGTAACATGTATGTTAACCTGTAGAGACACAGCTGCCTCGTACTTTCTGAACACATGGGCACTTTAACTTGAGCACTTTGGATCAGAACCAACAGGTTCTGTTCTTTTTAACCAGAACCTGACAACGTCTGGAACTGATAGTCTGAATATTACAATCAAAAATAAAAATCAGATTTTAATATTTTAGCGTGTTTAACATGTTAGCATGTAGAGAGGCAGTGGCCTTGTGTTTTCTGAATACACTTTAACTTGAGCACTTTGGATCAGAACCGACGGGTTTTTAACCAGAACCTGACAACAGTTTATTGATGAAATCTTTTTTGTTTGATGTTTGAATCTTTATTTAAAGTCTGAACATTGCTTTTAATACTTTAATATTGTTTGTATCAGAAACAGAAACGTGTGTAATCACACAGTTCTGTTGAAGTCTCTCCCAGCAGGGCTGTAGTGTGTGAAAACACCAAAGCTTCTTTGTATTTAATTGTATTTATGTGAGAATAAAGGATTTTAACTAAAACCAGCAGTTCTGCTCGTTTTTCAGTTTTAAACCAAGCAGCAGTTCATCAGGACACAGAGTCCATCAGAGACCGGGCTTCTGAACCCAAAGTCCAGACAAATCACAGACCTCAGCTTGGGCCATATTCATGTGTTAGCATGTTTGTTTGTGCATGTGTTAGTTTGTGCTTGTGTTAGTTTGTGCTTGTGTTAGTTTGGGCTTGTGTTAAGTTTGGGCTTGTGTGAACATACGTGTTAGCATATGCGTGTGTTGGCACATGTTAGCATGTGTTTGTGTTAGCTTGTGCATGTCTTGTTGTATGTGTATTAGCTTGTGTGTGATTCAGCTTTAATCAGGTTCTGATCTGAAGTTGAGCAGCTGACCACTGTAACCAACTCAGCTGTCCTAAAAGCTGCTAAATGCAGGTTATAAATAGCATTTTTGGACATTTGTCAGTAATTGTGAACTAGGCTGTAGTAGGTCATCAACACTGAAGAGTAATAAAGTGTGTAAAAACATTAAATATGTTATGAACCACAAATCACCTGAGTAAAATCCTGTTATGATGTTAAAGCTTAGATCCAGGTTCCATAAACAGATTTTGTGAGAGCGTTTCATTTAACCAGCAGAGGTCAGAGGTCAGAGGTCTCAGAGCCTCAGAGGATGGACGATGTGAAGAAGTCAGAAGCAGCCGGGTCCAGAGGTTTAAACATTACAGTAAAATGACTGAAAGGCAGGCAGGAGCAGTTATTACAGCCAGGGTAGTGTGGTGTGTCAGACTTCAGATCTGCATCTGCAGGTCATCTCAGGTGATTCCAGGTAAGCTCTGTTGGATAAACTGGATTAAAGGACTTTTTGGTTGAACATTTTCAGACTCAGAACCCATCTGATGAGACTTTTATTGAAAACAGAAAGAATCAGTTTTAGGTCATTCTGTGGTTCCTGCAGACGGAGTTAACCGTCCAATAATCAGACTTCCATTGTGTTTAAAGAATGTACCAACGAGTCAAACATTAACGTGTATCTATCTGACTTTTAAAATGATTGTTTCCTGCTGCACGTTAGCGCCACCTGCAGGCTGAAGCAGGACATTCAGTACAACTTCATGGAGGCCTCGAACAGTTGGCTCAGGTCCTCTTCAGTGTGTTCTCGTGGAGACAGCTTGGTGACACGTTCCTGCACACAAACAGAAGACAGGCCGTGTCCAAATTCAGGGGCTACGTCCAAATTCAGGGACTACGTCCAAATTCAGGGGCTACATCCAAATTCAGGGGCTACATCCAAATTCAGGGACTACGTCCAAATTCAGGAGCTACATCCAAATTCAGGGGCTACATCCAAAATCAGGGGCTTCATCCAAATTCAGGGACTACGTCCAAATTCAGGAGCTTCATCTAAAATCAGGGACTACATCCAAATTCAGGGGCTCCATCTAAAATCAGGGACTACATCCAAATTCAGGGGCTCCATCTAAAATCAGGGACTACATCCAAATTCAGGGGCTAGGTGTGAAATCAGGGGCTACATCCAAAATCGGGCTACATCCAAAATCAGGGGCTACATCCAAAATCAGGGGCTACATCCAAATTCATGGGCTACATCCAAAATTGGGCTACGTCCAAATTCAGGGGCTCCATCTAAAATCAGGGACTACGTCCAAATTCAGGGGCTAGGTGTGAAATCAGGGGCTACATCCAAAATCGGGCTACATCCAAAATCAGGGGCTACATCCAAATTCAGGGGCTACATCCAAAATCAGGGACTACATCCAAAATCAGGGGCTACATCCAAATTCAGGGGCTACATCCAAAATCAGGGACTACATCCAAAATCAGGGGCTACATCCAAATTCAGGGGCTACATC